CGCCTTTCGTTCGTTTGTGAGACATTTCATAGAGTATTTAAATACCCGCCAGATATATCTGTTGATGACACAGACCACAACGGCAACCTTCCCTCCGAGCTCATCAGACATCCAGCCATGTCAAGCACTCCCTCAGCATCCGACTCCACTCAACAGTATCTTCGCGATGTTTTACAGTATGCCGAGACAATCTGGCAACGCATGAGTGGTATGTAGCAATTGTTTTCGTGCTTAGCATCTTGTTGATCGCTGCACCACTAGATCCTGAGCATCAGCTCAGTGCCGTGCTCGACAAACAGGGCCGCGACACTCGAGTGTCAATTTTTCAACATTTGCTGGAGGTTAAGAACCATGCGCGGTATCTGCCTGAAATACAGGCATCTGGTACGCTCTTCTGGCATTCTCAAAACTCATGCGCACTCACATGTTGTTTTATTTTTGACTCACAGGATTTGACGTTTCTCTGTACCTTGAGAAGCCAAGCAGGGTATTCCTACCACCCGCTGGCTTGGAATTCATGATATTGTCATGAAGGCGAGTCGCGCGGTGTCTACTGCACGCTGGAATGCCGCCTTAGCGGGTGAACTTGTAGAGCTTCCTGAGTTAGCTGAGTAGTACAGCCTCGTGGCTGATTTGTCCTGAACTTAGCATATTATACTGTTAGTCTACTTGTATATGTTGCTCTAAGTCAAAACCCATTCATTTGTACGATATTTACTAGGAGGGGACCGGTCTGAGCTGGTCCCAACTGGTCATGGACCAAATTTGGTCCGAGACCGGTCATGACTGGTCCTGGACCGCAAGGAGGACTGTGCAGGACCAGGACCCAGTCTTGGTCCAGTCCTACATAAATATATGCTGGTCCTTGACTGGTCTGGGTCCTGGTCCTGCTTGGTTGCTGAAAAAGACCGGACTGGACCGGACCCTCAAGCACTACACATTTCGTCACATCTCCATACCCAGAGTATCTCGCCTCGTAGCAATACAACATCACAGTGCACAGACATCACTCCCTCCGAGGCACGAGCGCAGGTGTCGGGACGGCTCGCTCACAGTCCTCAGCGACGCCTGAGTGACACGAGCATCGCAGAAATTCGCGAAACGCGTGTGATAAGCCGCGCGTTGGCGGTCTACGCGTTCTGCCCAAGAGACGGTAGCCCTCTCACCGCGCTCGTCGCGCCTGCTGCTAGGCCGCCCACCCCTGCGTCAAGGTGCCGCACTGTCAGCGTATCCCCGCCGCGGACAACAAAGCCGTAGGCGAGCTCGATGAGCTTGGAACGTCGTGGATCGGCATATAACTGGTCCATCTCGCATTCGCAGATGCGGAGCACCTGCAGTCGAGGACAGAGCGTGTGCGCGCCATGAGGTTCAACTGGGGTTGATGAGACGATCTTATAGCGCAGGGTGAGCTCCTCGACGGACCGTAGGAGCGATAGCATCTCCTCCCAATATGCGACGCCCCACAGCGCCGCGTCGTCCGTGATAAACGCGGTCGTCACATCCGTCAGTGGCAGACGGCGCAGTAGATCAGCCACAAATGCCTTGTTGTCTGTGCCGAAGGAGACTTGGAAGAATGGAGAGTAATGGAGAGAGTCTTGCAAGGAGGAGAGCGGGAGACGATCGCGCCAGAGGCTTACGGTAACGTAGAAGTCGGGTGCTTCGTCGATGTCGAAGCGGAAAGACCGAAACGAGGGGTCGTCGAGGTCGCTCCAGGCATTGATCTTCGCTGACAGCAGCCTTATAAAGCCGTCGTACTCGGCGTGCGAGAACGAGAGGCAACTGAAACCGAGACGGATTGCAGTCGATGGCGGATGTGCGATCCGGCAGAGAAGGGGAATGCTTGCGAGGCTACTTCCCCGCGACTGATTGATACTAAGTAGTCGCAGCCGCGAGAGTATGACTGTGTCGTGCAGTCCTGGCGAGTCAGTCTCGTGGATTTGTCGCCAGCTGCTGGTCGTATCAAATAGCACGAGCTCTTCAAGACGTTCCATGGGCCGCAGGATCGCGAAGAGCTCATCTACTGGCCTTGGCCCGCATTGTATGAGCCTCAGAACCCGAAGATGAGGAAGAAACATCGGACGAAGCGCGGTGACATTGCGGTGAATTGCTGTTAACTGCTCAAGCTCGGGAAATGTGAAGTTTGGGGGGAAGGGGGAGGCGATATTTGTCTGCCGTTGGAAGATCAGCTCGAGAGACCTTGCCTTTGACACTCCTCCCGTCGATAGCCGCAGTCCGGTATCAGCCATGTCCCCGGCGATGAATAGGCTGCCGTGAACGATTCGGTCAAATTGAGCAAACACCAGCCTGCGCGATGCGTCTCCATCTGTTCGGAACCTTTCATGTGTGAGGCCTAAATAATGAATGTACAAGGGAAGGCATCCGGATCTGCTGATCAGATCCTGTACGCATGCTGGTCTAGTCGGGAAGATGTGGGTCGACAATCTCGGGTACGTCGGCGCGACCTCCCGCCATGCGCGGCAGACATGTCGGATCCTGAGCCACGAGTACGGCGTGATAAGTGGCATATCGGAATACGAATACTTGATATCGCGGTAGTTGTAGCCGTAGTCATACCTGGGCCGGTACAGCACGCGCTCTGCGGCGCTGCACACCACCAGGATATACCAATAGAAGATTTCTACGAGTAATTCATTAGGGAGTCGCGCGATCGGAGAGACTATATCGTGATGACTATCCGTAAGATCATCGTCTAAGTACCAGTCAAGAGAAGGTACGCGCCATTGTGGTCTGTCCGCATCGCAGTCTGCTCACGGCAGTCTTGCATTTTACAAGGTGAGTGCCGAGCTAAGTGACAGTGCTGTGCAACGACGTTGTAACGGCGGGGAACGGCATTCGCGGCAATCGCCGTAACCCTAACCCAGGATTTGCAGTGCGGGCGCTCTCGGGAGGACGACGCCAACGACCACGATATCAGTCCAGACCATGGACTGTCTGACGTTCTCGCCTGATCCGCCTCTCTGGCGAGTCCCGCACACATCGACTAGCGGGCTGTGACACTTAGTGAAAGGGTAAGTCGTGAAGTGCTCATTTGTTGCAGAGCATCCGTGCTTCAAATATGGAACTTATGGGCTCATAGTAAGTTGCGTGCTGCCATACCACTAGTAACTGAACGTGGCGCAAACTGGCGACTTGGCCTGATGTTCCCTGCAGATGGACCGATTTCGGGAACGAAATTAGGCCTCAAATGATGTGATACTTGTCTCATAGTGGTATAGCATCAGTGTACAGACATATACTGTTCCCCCAGAGGCGCATTCCCAAGTGTCGACATAGCCCGCTCGCAGTCCTGAGTCCTCAGAGACCCCTGAGCATCGCCGAGATTTGCGACATACAAGTGGCAAGCCAATGCCTCGGGGTCTGTGGGCCCTGTCCAAGGGGCTCAGCCGGCGGCCCTTTCACCGTGCCCACCCAGTCGGCTGCCTCTGCGTGCACCGATAGCGTCTCCCCGCCATTAGCGACAATGCCACGCGCGAGCTCCGCAAGCCTGGCATAGTTTGGCGGAAGCTGCTGGACGGCGAAGTAGGGCTTGTCCACCGCGCATTCGTGTATGCGGAGCACCTGCAGCTGAGGACAAAGCCCTCGAGCGGTGCGGGGTTCGGCTTGTACTGTATAGAAGACTTCATAGCGCAAGGTGAGCTCCTCGACAGACCGTAGGTGCGATAGCAGTTGTTCCCAGTCCACGGCATCCCACAGCGATGCCGAGTCCACGATGAGCGCGGCTGTCACATCCGCTAGCGGCAGACGGTGCAGCAGGCCAGTCATGAACGTCTTATGGTCTGTATCGAGAGAGATCTGGAAGAACGTGGAGTCGCGGGGGGAGTTCTGTAGAGCAGAAAGCGGGAGCCGTTCACGCCAGACGTTCACAATGACGCCGAAGTTGAGGTCTCCTCTGCTGGTGCCCACGCGCAGAGATCGGAGGGAGGGGTCGTCGAGATCGCTCCAGGCGTCGATTTTGGCAGACAGCAGCCTGAGCAGGCAGCCGCCCTCGCCGTGCCGGATGTGCCAGCTGGATAGCCGCTTGAAGCTGAGACGAATGGCGGTGGAAGGCGGATGTGCGATGCAATAGAGAAAGGGGATGCCTGTGAGGGCACTCCGCTCGCTGATACTGAGCAGCCGCAGCCGAGGGAGGTCGACCGTGCCTCGCAGCCCCGGCAAGTAAGTGTCGCGGACCTGGCGCCAGTCCGCTTCTCCACTGATCGTATTTGATAGCACGAGTTCTTCGAGGTGTTGCATCGGTCGCAGGATAGCAAGGAGGTTTTCTGCCGACGTTGGTTCACACTGCAAGAGCCTTAGAACTCGAAGATGGGACACAAGCATGGGACGGAGCGCAGCGATGGTACCGTTGCGGGTGGTTAAGCGCTGTAGTTGGGGGAATGTGAAATTAGAAATAATGGGGGAAGTGGGATTTGACGCTTTCCAAAAGTTCAACTCCAAGACCATCAACCTAGATATCCCACCCATCAAAGGCTGCGGTTGGGAATAGACTATATCCTCAGGGATAGGCACACTGCCGTAATAGATACGCTCAAAATGAGCTGACAACAGCCCGCAGGATGCGGCCACATTGCTCATTTGAGTGTACGTGAACATGGAGCTTGACATGTAGATGTGCAAAGGGAGGGTGCCCGATCTGCTGAGTAGGTCCTGGACGCACTCTGGGTGAATGAGGAAGATGTGAGTCGACAGTTCTGGATATATCAGTGAGACCTCGCGCCATGCGCGGCAAATATGTCGGATCCTGAGCCACGAGTACGGCGCGGGAGGGGATACATAAGAGGGCTTGACATCAGGGCAAATGAAATCATCCTTGGCGGGGTACAGCTTGCGTTCGGCAGCACTGCAGACTGCTAGGATGTGCCAACAGAAGGCTTCTGCGAGTATCTCGCCCGGGAGCCGTGCAATCGGGGAGACTACATGATGACCAGCCGCTGTCAGAATCACCGCCTAATTGCTCTTCAGTCAAAGATACACACCACTGTCCTCTTCCCACACGGCGGTCTGTTCAGGACAATCTTTCTGCATCTTTCGAGGTGAGGGTCCCAGGTGCAAGCCTGTGCAACGTTGGGGTAGCGAGGATGCATTCTTGCGGCAATCGCCGTGAAATCCACACGCTAAACCGTGATATTGCGCAGGCCTGGCGCTAACACCATTTAACACACCGCGAGTGCTTGTAGATGGTTTACGTTTCGGAAAAATCGACGAAAACGATACGAAAACGAAGGGACGAAAGTGGTAGCATCTCTGGTTAAATTGCTCGGGAAATTTGACCCTGTCATCGTCTTCATTATTATGCAGGCGAAGAAACGTAAACAGACGATGTTACTCACTACTTTGTCATTTGGAGCGACCAAGAAGTGGAAGCTACGTCTCATATTGGTCTAACCTCTCGGAAAGCGGAGGTGTTATTCATCGTCGATGCAATACTGATAAACTGCGAGTCGAGTGAATACTTAGTTCGACGACGCGCCGATAAGTCCATTGGCTCTTGAGGTACGTGACGCTTTACAGGAGGGCAACCGGGTGAGCGAGCGCGATACTGAGAAGAGTGACTCTGTGCCTTGTGCCTCTGCAGCAGTGCGCAGATTGTAGCTGCCCGTCGGTAAGAGCAAAATTATTGGCAACGCTGTCAGCCAAAACTTCCACAGCCGTATACGCGCTATAACGCGTCACATAATCGCAGGCGTAGATGACTCACGATTCGGTCGTGTGTCTAGCGGACAGAAGTGGCCAAGAGGCTGTCCGAGAGTGTTCATGTTCGCAAGCCACAGACTGGGGGTCGAGCACATGACTCGGAGTGCCTGGAACGGTACGTTAGGAGATGTAGAAGACGAGAACTACGCAGTACAGTAATGCTCCCCGTAACCACAGTATCCGAAGCAGGTATCCAAGAATCACCGGCACAGGCGGAGAGTAATTAGACAAATCGCTGGACCTTACTAGGAGCGCTTATGAAATAGTCACGCACGTGATTGGCGCGAGATAATGCCGAGCACATCACACTGGGTGGTAAGCGCACTTTTTTCCGGCGTAAAATTGGCCAAAACCCGATCCAACAAGGCCCCAACTTTCTCCGATTTTCACCTGAAAGAAACCGAAGGCAAAACTCATTTTTCCGCCAGTTTTACTGTGTTTTAGACCCTTTTGGCTGGTTTTGCACCGGTTTCTCCTCAGTTTGCATCAGTGTAGAATCGAGGAATAACTGGGCCTTGTTTAGCCGCTTTTGCCTGAGTTTTCTTGAGAAAAAACTGCGCTTACCACCCTGTGTCACTGAGCAAGTACCAGGCGCGCTTTCATCCTTGCTTGCCTCCAGCCTTCCTAAACAGGCATTAAAACACGGCAGGTCGCACTCGTGGATGCTTACAGTGCCCTTGTGATAGTTCGGAACAATATTACACACACCGTACGACGTCAAGCAAGTACTGGTGCGGGCAAAGTTGCAAACGGACTTGGATCATGATTAATGTCTAGAAAACCTTACATTTGTTTTCTCTGCTGTGCGTGTACATCCATACAGCGTGTCGAAACGCTTTGACACGTAATGACTTGACTTCCACATACATGCGCGAACTGACTCGAAGGTCATGCAGGCCCGGGGGTAGTGATAGAGGATTAGGTGGGCGATCTCTGAGACAGGGTTCCTCATAGGCCGTGGGCACAGGCATCCTTACACGAGAAGCCGAAGACGGCGAATTGGGGCTGGACGGGTCAATTTCGAGGAACGGCAGAGTGCAAAAGCGTTGAAAGCAAGCGGGCACCGGCAGGGCGGTAGACACGGCGTGCACACTGAGGCATGAAGGGCAGGGCATTGGATGTAGATATTGTTGAGGGATCATCGCAGTTGTGTGGGCAATTTTGCGTGTTAGATTGTCGGCTTGCTCCTCAGATATATTTTCGTTCTCAATCTCGATATATTGAGTAGCGTGTAAAACCGTAAATTACTAAATAGTAAGTTCCTTACTTGGTTTCATTCGGAGCGCTAAAATGAAGCAAAGAGTAAGTGTTTCACTTCGGAGTGCTTGTGTAAGACTCCGCGCAGAGTCTTCTCGCTTGTCCCAAGCCGTCTTCTCAGCCGGCGTGTCGATCAAGAGAGGCCGTCTACACAGTGGATACATGGTGCGTATCGTTGAAATCTTGTATTTTCGAGGCTCAGTATGCAATTTGATCTACAGACCGGGCAGGTGGCGCGCAGCAAAGCTCTCACCTTGCAGCTGTGTCGTAAACGACTGCAACGGGAAGCTTATTCCCCGCGATACGCGAGACAGGCATAGAATGGCAGACCTAAGGACAGCCAGCCGAACTCAGAATGCTCTTTTTGCAAGCACCCATGCCAATGTGGTTGCCCCAAGCAGCGCGCCCAGCTATCCTTCGGGGCATCACGCCACGACGCCTCCCAGCCAGCCTTCCACGTCCGACTCGCCGTACATGTCATCTTCCAGCTCTATACTCTCCATTCCTCCATCAATCTGACAAATAAGGCCTTTTCTCGCCTTACCAACCCCTTGAATATAACCGACAACGTTGTGCCGTCCGATGCATAGCTTGCCGGCGTAAATTCTATGGTGTCTGTAATGCGCATCTAATGAGCAGACACGCACAAATAACTGTATAATTCTGAAAAACTCTCGCTTGTCTCTAATAGTAGAATGGAGCGCAGACCTGTCCGGTTCATACACGGCGCGTACAATTTCTTCCGTGCGTCGCACCGCCTAACCTCATTTGATGAGTTTAAGTCGTTTCTTCCGTCGTTTGACATCTCCTATTACTGGACGAAAGCGATCTTGTAGCGGCTTCTTCATGCGAGAGGCCATCTTGGCCTCGGAAGTGTGGCACCGATACTTTGTTCCTCGTATACCTATACCTCTCTGTGCTGGTTGACGAGTCATTCGAAAATGACGAGCGGAAAGGTGCAAAACCTTGTGATTATGAACGGGACGGTCATGACGATCAGGCCCAGACAGCCTCTACCGAACATGCCCAGCTAACCCCGACCCCCACACGTTACCATTGCCGTCTACGGCCTTACTCTCATCAAACGGTCATGCCAAAGGACACTAAACTCTACCTCTGTATGGCTCTTGCGTGGACACACGCCGCGCGTACCAGCAAACGATTTCCATCCCTACCATGATCCACTCGGCAGCTAAGCTTTTGCTATTAATTCTGGTGTGGAAAAGACAGCGAAGGTCGAGCTCATTTCAGCAGCTGTCAGTTTTTCGACTCTTACGCCAGAGTGGTGCCCGCGAAGGTCACCCCGGGAGCGGACCATCGTGCTGGCCAAGATCTACAGCAGATGCGAGCAGGACGCTGCGAGTCTGAACAACCACGTCGCACCTCTTTCAAGAATCATGCGAACGTTGTTCAGAGCATGAGAAAATATCGAGCTGGTATATGACTAGTAAAATGGCACAGAAAAGTTCCTAGTCTGAAGAAGAAAAAATTAACGTAAGTACTATAAAATGTACAGCGAAATCGTCCATGACAAAGAAGAGTCATCAAAGGAAGTTCGTGCAAAACGTCAGAACATAAGTCGTCACAAAAGTGAAAGCAAAGCAACTCCATCGCTTTCGTGCACGATCCACGCCAAAGGAACAACCAGCTTAGAAGACGGTTATGATCCCGCCAAAGACGACGGCGACTACAGCGACAGCCATGCCAAGCAGGTTGTGCGCGTTGAAGCCGAGTGCAGCGGCGCCGTTGCCCGAGCTACCGCTGCTGCTGGCCGCTGCCGACGCACTGCTCGCTGCGCTGCTCGCCGCGGCCGCAAGCGAGGAGGTGATGCTGAAGCCGATGGGCGCGGTCTGCGAGCTTTGCGAGGCCGTCGCGGCGGAGGTCGCAGAGGAGAGCCTACAACGCCATTGTCAACATCGCGCAAAACTCAAGGGAGACGGAGAGAAACTCACGCAGAGCTGGCCGCGCTCGCGTCCGAGTCTGTGTCGAGCAGGACGCGGTCGATGATGTGGATGACACCGTTCGGGAGGAGCACGTCCGGCTGCACGATGGTTGCCGTGGTGTTACCGAGCGTGACGTACTGACCGGTCCCGTTTATTTTGAACGAAAACGTCTCGCCTCCCGCGGACGTGTAGTTCTGAGAGCCCGTGAGCAACGGCGAGTACAGCGTCGTGCCGTTGATAGCCTGTGAAGCGCGTGTTAGTATGGATGAACGAAAAAGAGACAGAGGCGACTCACGTGGTTGAAGAGCACGGCATTGAATGCGGAGCGGTTCCCAGCAAGACCTGCAAGCGTGCTGTTCGACGCGTTGACAGCCGCGTCATCCGGCGAGAAGAGCGTGAACCCGTGGAAGCCGGTGTTGAACGCGTCAAAGAAGGTGACGTCACCCGTCGTGTTCGTGCTGCTGTTGTAGAAGCTGAGCGTCGCGCTCTCGAGTACCGTCGAGAACGCGTCCAGGCTGTTCGTCGGGATGGTGTCTTCAAGGTCCTCGGGCACCTGCAACACTTGGTTGACTATAAATATTGTTAAGTTTCCAAATGTCGTCGTGTTGACCACCGTCGAGTCGTTCTTCTGGTTAAGTACGTGCGTCATGGAGTCGTTCCGGGTCGCCCAGGCCACGACCTGCGGCTTGTTGCCCTCCAGGTGCACTGTAGCAGAGTCGTTATAGAGAGTTTGGCCGAGGGTGATGTTGGGGTAGTTGGTTCGTACGTTGGAGAAGTTGCCAGGGACGACGTGGTATGAGAAGATGTCCGCCAGAGTGGTGACACTGCTAGTAAAGTTGCTTGGAACATTCGACCCTATTACTACCTTCAGTACCCTGCAAGCGAAGAAGCACAAGCAAGGTGAAACTCACAAGCATCGTTATTCGGGGCAAACAGCAGGTAAGGGCTGCCATTCGAGATATCACTCAGGACTTCCTGACCGGTAGCGGTGCCGTTGATCATCGACGTAACACTGATCAACTGCGTGAGCCCTGCATTTGTCAGCGCGCTGACGAGTCCGGCGAAGAACGTTGAGTTCTGCGCGAGCGCCGCTGAAGGAGCGAGCGCTAGGCTGAGGAGGGTGGCGTATCTCATGTCGTCGCGGGCGTGCGCGTGTCGTGAGGCGTAGGGATGTGAGCGCGAGAAACGGGGGAGACTCGAAACAGAGCTTCGGGACCGTAGGCACGCAGGCTTATATAGATGAGGGTGGGGTCGACGCCTGCCAAACATCGCCAGGCGATGCGTTCATCGAGGCTCGCGGGGCGCCTCGCCATATTGCCAACCTTCCTGCAAGCGGAAAATGCCACGAGGCAGCGAATAGAAGATGCTCTAGACGTGACAGCAATATGAAATGCGCGTGCCACGGGCGAAGATGTCATGCCCTTTCGCCTCCAGGCCTTCTTCAGCACCCCAACCGGCCTCAGCAGGCTCTCCGCCGCCGACCCCCAGCTACACAGACCAGTCCTCTCGAGTGTCCTGGGTCAAGAGCGCAGGCACCTGCCGTTTTCCGCCTTGTTCATGCAACGCTCGCAGGCTGGTGGAAGAACGAACATGCTTAAACCTGGCTCCCGTGTACCTGGGCGCTATTGGTTGAATGACGTTCTATGGTGCCCATAAGAGGAAATACCTTTGCCAGATCTTTTCCGCCCCCTTCTGTTCCGCGAACGTTCTGCTCAGGACTAGCCTCGGCCGAGGCTGCGCAGCCTGCAGACAAATGGTTAGAACGAGACATTCTTCGGGTCATAACACAGCGGTAGGCTTACATTTGCATGGAACCATGCTGCGTGTAGCCTCAAATCGACTTTCTTCGACAGTTGCGCTCGATATCACACCTTTCAGGCTGTCCATAGCCGCTATGACTTCACTGTAGATCAGAACATGAGTATGTCGCGTGAAAGCCAATGCACCCCAGCCCCGAGGAGTGTCCGCCAATGAGAAGAGAGCACGCACACCTATGGTGACCTCATACAGTGGCTGCGAGACCTTAAGTACTCCACTCAGAATTGGTATTCGGTGATGCGATGTGACGGAAGCCCAGGAACCGTGATGAACGTAGCGCTGGTGGTGTGAACGATTCGTAAAATGAAAGCGTGCCAAAGCACGAAGCATCAAGTTCGCTCAACGAGAAAGGATAAGATCTGCTTACCAATTTAGCCTTTGAAGGAGCCCGACGACGTTCAGCAGGGCAGATGACCGGAGCACAAACTGCGGAGCCGCCAACCACACCTCGCGTCAGCAATCGCGCAGTTTCCGCTCCGATTATCACCATCCTGGCGTGCCAAAAATGAAATCTATAAATCCAGCAGGTGTATACCGGTGGCTCTATTTCTCCGAAAACGACCTTTCTAGCCTAGGGGCGTCATGTCGCCTCCAGCTTGACATGCGCTGTATTTCGCGATCGATAGCGTAGCGCACCGCCTCCTCGACATCATACACGATGTGGGTCGGCCGGTGCTGCGGTGGGCCGTTCGCCGGGTCATACACGCCAGTTTGCACGAGTACGGAATCCCAGCCTGCGGCATTCGCGCCTGCGATGTCAGACTCGGGATTATCTGTGGTGCAGATTCAGTGTCTTCGGAGGTCCGGAGGTTGTGGATGAGCTACGCACCGCCGATCATGTACCTATCATGAATTGAATTGAGAGACTAGTCGGAAGAGCGCAGTTCTGAGACTTACACTTGAGGCATCTGGCTCACAGGCCCGCCCTGGATCTCCGTCAGCCTGTCACGCAGGACTTGCTCTGCAAACTTGTACGTCGCGGCCGTGGGTTTGCCGTACTGAGTGTACGGGTACGTCCTGCCCGTGAGCGCGCGGAACACGGCCTGAAACGCCTCGCGAAATGCACCCTGGCCGAGTCGCGGTCGATCAAAGTCTGAGCGCCAGATGAGGTCGGGGTTGCAAAAAATGAGCTCGACAGGAACATCGGGCTCTTTGTACGGTCCGCCGACGATCCCACCCGACTGAATGATGTCGCATAGCACCTGTACGTCAAGCGCCCAGTTGCGCGGGTCGTGAAAGACGAAGACAGCTTGGATGGGCGTTGTCGAGAAGTCTGCCGGCTGTGGGACGGTCAGAAGCGAGGAAGGGAAGGGACTGAGGAACTTGCCTTTGCCCTGGCGCGTTCGTCTGGCGTCAAGTCATAGAATGGCCAGACACTGTTACGAGCCAAAGTTAATCGGGAGATAGGTGCATATATGCACTCGGACATACGAAGGATTCCATGCCTTGACGTCAAGAGTGGTATATGCGTGTTTAAAGCCGTAGCTATTGGTGCATTAGCTTCATTACAGAGTCCATCAGTCATCAACACTGACCTCTCAGCGACTTTTCTTATGTCGTCGTTCAAGCCTCCAAGCACTAAGACAGGTGTGTGGGTATACTTGTGTACCACAGTCTTCAGAATTGTGTGAGCTTGGATGTATTGCGTAGGTTTGATCTGGCATTCATGTCGAATCGGGAGCATATATACATGTCAGCATGACGTACCTCAAAGCTTAACTCCTTACTCAACCTTCTACATCGCTCGGACTCATCTATACCGCCGCCGTTCGTGAGCTACGCACACTGTTAGAAAGGGCTCGAAGGGCGAGGGAGAGCAGCCCGGTCTACCAAAATGTATGGAATCTTGCTGGTGTCTCTCTTAAGCAACTTATACGGTAATTCGTCAACGTCTGCTTACGTCTTGAGCGGATTGTCGCCTTCCAGCACCATGAGAGCTCGCTTTGCCGACGGGATCGCACGGTTGCCCCGAATCAAGACTCCATCCTGCAGTACACATTTAGATATTATATCTTTCAAAATCAGATAGTATCTTACTATGTCAAAGGCAAACGCCAGTGGTACATTCCTCGACTTATTCGTGTTACCTGTCTCGAATGCTCATCGACCGATTCACAATAGAACACGGTGTCTGCGACGTACTTGGAAGCTGAATCCATCTCCTCTGAGCTCCAGTAGTACTGCATGCTTGTCTTGATAATATATATGCGCGCGAAATGACGTGCAGTGGCCTAGGAGACTGGCATGACATGGCGGTTTGCGTGAAGCGCGTTCCGGCTCGGCCGAAACACCACGCCGGAATAGGAAATGATAGGCTTTGGATCCTAACAGGCCCAAACAAAATGCCAAAGTCCAGACGTTGACGCGACCTCCTGGCTCTTCGACGTTCAACTACACACTCCTGGGTTTGTTGTGCAACGGTATACTGCTGATAAAAATATAACGATGTATAACACAGGGCCATTTTGGGACCATGATTCCCTCGAGCGAGAATATCGGTCAACTTCCATCTGGCTTAGGCTCAGCTTCTCTGCAATGACATCCAAAACTTTACTTTGCCACTGGCGACGTGAATATCTCTGCAGCTCGCCATTGCATCGGATACTTATTCTGCGCACACAAAACTGTTCTCTCATATCATTCGCTGATCTTCCAGGACATGTTCGCCATACCAGTGCAACCAGACACGAATGAGACCCACAAAGCACTGCCATCATTCGGCTCCATGATGATATCGAGGATATCGAAAGCCTTTATATGTTCTCTTTATAGTTTTGGGTGCGTTAAACTCTGATTCGGCTCTCTCATGCTACATGTCGCGCTGTAGACTGCCGCTGAAGAGGCTGGATTCGGATACGCCACTTCGCGTCCGAGGTATCTTGAAGGTAGCTGACAAATACGAGGTTGACTCAATCCATTCCCGCACAATTCAACATCTGAAAGAAGACTGGCCGACGTCTGCTCTTGCCTGGCTACGTTTCTGTCGTGACGAAAAACTCTACAGTGAAGACTGTGCGCGTTACTTGTCTCTGGAGGACGACACTGAGCATCCCGAGGACCACTTTCCCGAGCCCGCCTCTGCAATTCGTCTTGCGCGTGATTTAGAACTCTCATCTATCTTCCCAGCAGCGTATCTGCGCCTGCTTTATTCGGACCCGACACTCAACTGGGACGACATCCGGCAGAAACGCGACTGCGCGCCGAGGCGCAGCGCACGCTCCGCGCGATGACACCTGCTCCACCGCGTCGATATGCTCCGCCTCGTGCAAGGCCGGTAGCGGCTCGTGCAGAGCCTGCCGCACGCGCACCGCGCGTTCCTGCTTGACACGCAGGCGGGCCGAAGCCCAGACAGCAATGTTGTCGGCGATGAAGAGGAAGACGACGGCACCCCGAACTGCTACCAGATCATCTTGCGCAAGCACGACGAGTTTAGCGCGGCGCGTTATTCGAGCCTCTGGACCGGTGTTGAGGAGGTCGAATGCCTGGACCCGATTGCGGTCCCCCAGGAGCCAAGAGACGCGGCCACGAATTGGAAGATGTGCGCGTCGTGCACCGAGCTATTTCGCACCAAGATCGCGGACGAGATCAAGCGGCTGTGGGACGACCTGCCTCGTATATTTGGCGTTGTCCCCGAAGAGTCTTAATGGTCACTGTCTCTGGTATCAATGGTTTCGTCCCTTCCGTAGCTCGTTACGAAGAGCACATGTCCTCTATATTGTCTTTATCAATCTCGTCTGCGTGAATATCCTTTCGATGAAAAACATGTGGCTAGTATCATCCCAACAATTGTTCAAGATAATAAGCACCAAAAGATTAATCACCTGGTGAGCTGCCCTCCGATCCGAAAAGCGACAATCGCACCCTCTGAAAAAATTGGCTTTTGTCAAAATAAAAATTTTCTCTATAGCATACGGTCATGTTGCTCGCGTTGTACAGAATTGTGCCGCGAAAAGCGTTGATTAAGACACGTTCCCTTGAGGAAACGAATTTAACATATCTCTAAGATTTTTTGAAGCGCTTCAGGGAGCCCTCCGAGTCGTGACTCGTACTCCGTACGAGGGCCTCGACAGCAGCACGCTTATTCGAGATAACCGACCCGTCCCCGTCGTCAACGGCGCCGCCAACAGCTCCAGGGTACGGGCGGGTACGCCCACGGGCAACAGTATCGAGTTCCCTCTCCGAGATTGCCAGTAGCCTGCGAAAATTGATGCCGATGTCGTGTACGCGATGCGCTTGCCAGTCCCAGTGTTCCGGATGCGCGGTCTGAATGTGGTGGAACATATTGTACTTCCAATATACAGTCCGCAGCTTCGTAAAAGGGTCCTTTGGGCAAAGCAGGCATTGCACGGGCACATTAGTGCACGGCATCACCGACGAGAAGCGCCGCGCCTTGTTCCACGAGAAGGAATGTGCGTGCGGGCAGTTGGATGTCGTCGCGGTGTACTTCGACGCGGGTGAGTCCGTCTTGACAAGGTTTATGTCGCAGCCAGCGCGTCCACAGAAGCCGCAGGGGTTGCTTGGGTGGACCTGAACATGGTTTGAACGTAGCCTCGGAAACAATGATGGCGTATAGGCTACGTACCGTGTGCTTCATATTGGGCCCTTCTGGTGCACTAACAACCTGTCGGAGAATATGGCTGCCAACATGGCTTCGCACGTTCCTCTTCAGCAAGGTCTCACCACACTGCAAGCATTTGACCGAGTCCCTCTCCTTCGTTGCCTTTTGAGCCTGCAGATCAGAATTTACCACGAAAACGCATACTTTGGCGGCCGCATCGAGTTCTTCCATAGCAGTAGATGGTTAAACACCTACGATTCGACAAACTAAGTGGCGTACCATGTGATTCGAGAGGGCCTAGCAGAGGTTCGGACTGACACCGTCTTGACGCTTTGCGCGTCGTTCGCACTTGAGGAACTTGAAGTTGAGGCAGAACCGGATCAGCCTGGATACCAATGTCACAGTACTTCTCGCCCGAGTCTTCTTCCTGGGCCTCCTTGCCGCTATCTCCTGCAACGGCTGCACGCGCACTGCCACCATTGCCTCTTTGCACGCGATCACACGGTACGTTGCTGAACAGCTCCGTCCTCAGCGCACTCGCCCTGGCCTCCTCCTCCTCCATAAGCTTCCGCACTGCCTGGCGCATGCACCGTTGGCTCTCTCTGTGCCTATCCATGTGGTACGTCGTCGAGCTCGACACCTTGATCACTTGACCGCAATCTGGACATGGCGTAGCGGTGTACTCAGTGGACGCTGCGATGCCAGGCGTAGCAGGAAACGCGCTCGTCGAAGTCATCGAAGGGTTCACATGTGCCAGAGTCGATCCAGGAGGGCAGCCATACGGTTGTGTGGCAGAGAACGAATAATAGTACGCTCCTGGATGCCAATGAGTGAATATGGCATTGTGAGATGTTCCTGGAGCATCCTCGATCTTGAAGGTTGTCGATACAGATGACGGCGAGCTCATCTGCGCGTGAGGGTAGTAAGTTGCGGCGATGAACCCATAAAGTGAAAGTGTAACGCTCTTACCACGAAACTGGAAAACGAATTAAACGATGGGCCTCGCTGAGAGATCGTCCCTGAAGAAAGCGATACATGAAAGCGATAGCAATCATGAGTCTCCAAACTCAGCCTGCTGGTTTATGCCAAGCATTGAAAAATATCAACATACGTATACTAGCACTGGAGGAAGTGCAAAAAGGGAGAAAGTCCACGTTCAGGTGAGGCTCGAACTGGGCCTGCATAAAGCAACATGAACAGACGCTGTAACCAACTCAGCCATGAAGCGCAAGTTTTTCTGTCGCGTTATATTAATGGTATAACTAGTATTTTGAGGGACGTCTGACGCGTCGCGTGCGGCCTCCCCTAGCTTTCTACTAACTTGCATCCCCTTTATTCTCTACGTCTATCGCTCCTTCCAACAATCACCAGTGATGGTAGGTATTCTATGGCGCGCAACCTCAAATCGTACTTATTTCACATACTCACACAGGACCCTTCTCTGCGCCTCGTCCCCTCCAGTCGTCCCAAGACTGCGTCCGTCGAGGACACCGCGAACGGTTTCGGTCTTCATGACACCCTTTCACATGGACCACGAAGTCTTGCGGCGGAAGTGCAGACTGTGAGCCCTATCAAGGACAGGCTGGAGAACGTAAGTTACATCATGGCCTCAGCATGGCCGCGGCAGACTGATCAATCACACAAATCTGTAGTGGGAAGAGACCCAGGACAATTTCAAGCTGACCATGCAGAGGAACGTCTACGGTTTGCATGCACCTGTGCGCCAGCTCATGGAGCGCAAAATTGTTGGTTTCGTCAGTAATCTTCTCGATCACTGTAGCTATTACGTTATTTACGCTTTGTGTAATAGAACCCTCACATGCCGACATACCGAACGACAAACGTGCACCTCGATATCCTCATGGGGAGGGACGAGACGATAGAGCCTGCGGATTTTATGACATCAGGTACGTCGAATGTGTGCAGTGCTATACTTTGTACTGACTGTATTTCGTCTAGCCTCCGAGATGGCGCAGCCTCTGGACATCCGTGCTGAGATGGAGAAGCGTTATCGCCTTTAGACCACAACTGGAATGTATGTTGTAATGAGCTGTTTCCGCTTATGATAATTGTATACTTTACAGCTGAGTCTCGCTGGGTTCTTCCTTCACGCGTGCATTTACAGGGATATCACACTGCATGAGCAGGTTCCAAACAATACCAATGTCCGCCTCTCATCTATGCAGCAAGAACATCTACGCCATAACTCCTTCCTGGCCCTTTGACAAGTTTTAGCCCACCATAAGTTTTGTTAAGTGACGTCATGCCCGTTCAAGCCGTCTCGAAGCAGGGACAGTTGCTTCATAGTCGCACCATCGGAACGGACTGTAGCGATGAAGAGTAACAGATCTCAGATAGCGACGTCGTTCCCGATATTCGCATGCTCTCGCCACGGCCTATAATTGATCGGCTGGCCTACAGTGCTTTGCAGGCCAATCTACAGTGTACAAATTAATACCATAAGCAGTACTAGGTTAGTCACCGTGAGTCACGGACAGTCACAGTCGTTTGTTCCAGCATGCCGAGGCGAAGTGTGTCGAAGGATTTGCTGGTGAATCAACTCGATGCATAGCTTAATCATAAGCACCGGCTTTCTGCAAAATTCAGCGCAATTTAAGGGCTGTTGCCACCATGGCTTGGCGTATAAGCTACGGTCGGACAGCAGCATCTACCGCCTCAGATTCATGGCGGTGAAGCCAGGGCTTGATGTCATAGGATGCTTCCTCAATGAGGTTGAAGTCCGGAGAGTGTGGCGGAATATAAATGAGCTTCGCACCTAGACAGTATGCATTGCAAGAGTTCTCCACTGTGACTTACTCTGTCGTGACTGATTCAGTGCGGGACAAACACGCGTAAAATTTTCGGTGACTGCAGATTGGCCTGCAAAGCACTGTAAAGGTGATGCCGCATCAAGTAACTTGCAACCTCCAGTAAGTGTATTTCAACTTGTACTATAGTCCGCTCTTCATATGGCGCGCGTCTTGCGGTACGAGGTCTAACTTGGTGCCGAATCGTTCAAGAGGCAGATCGAGTGACTTTCAGGCGGCGGCGAACAGCATCCTCGCACTGCGCACTACGGTGCGAGCGCAAGCAATTTGATTCCAGATCAATGAACTAGATGAGGTGCGTAGTTCGGCGATGCGTCAGTCTGCTGCTGATCAGAAGTTTGTGGGGTCGCTGTGATACTGAGCTGCGGTAGGGTACTGGATGGGCAAGTGGCAAGTTCGACCAGAACTTGTAGATCGCAGCACATTGACGGCCGTGGCGATGCACAATTGGGCTGACTAAGTTCCCGCGGAAGCCTCGAAGTTACCAAATGTCGTAAAACCGCGAAGCCTGAACCAGTCACAAGACTACCTTGAGGCTCTGTAGTTCCCATCAGCTAACCTGTCAACCTATAGGACATGAGACACCAAGCTATTGAGGGCACGGAGTTCCGATTTGCGAATGGTTACGACGACTTGGCTCACTTTCCTTTGTCGCTAGTCTGTCGGTGAATCCAGTTAAAATTCTCGCTTCAGAGGTTGCCACACGAAGAAGACACTTTTCTCATCTAGCGCAGCCGACTCAATTCCGTGTCGCCGCCGCCGTGCAACAATCCTAAGGAGACCGTCGGAGTGATATGCATTCAAGCCGTCTTAAGATTAGCTGAACCTCAGGCTGTGGTCACCGACGACTGTATAGGCTGTTGCAAAGCGTCCGCCAGACGAAAGACCGGATAATTCTGAAGAGGAGTTAGCTGAATTCTCCTTAGGATGTCTGATCACGGGCATTGCAATGTTGAACGTAGTCATCGATGGCCTACGAAAACAACAAGGACACTCGGTGCCCGCGTCTTGCCCGGCGTACGCTTGGGCACGGCGCTTATTGGGACGCGCCCTAACTTTGGCAGGTTATGTGGTTTGCGCCTGCCAGGCGCGGCCAGCGATCCGCGTATCCAAGACAGAAACAACGGCCTGGGAGATACTGTAAGTCTTTGCGCTACTGACTTGATGTGGCTCATAATATTATGGTTTGTCCAGCGCTCCGGAGTTCAACGTTCAATTTGAATGCTCCGAACGTAGAAACGCCCAGTAGTACGATGTCAGAAGGGCCGCTGGGCCCGCGCAGGGCGATACGGTCGCTGTATCGCCGTACGGAGTAGGTCTCTTGTGCTCGTCGTAGCCGTCGGGCGTACGACTTCCTCATCACGGACCTTATCGTCCGTAGGCAATGTAGTTAGAGTTTGGCTCAATCAGGCACGGGCTGTTCTGATATCAACGTGCCTACTCACGTCCTGTCTATTCCCCCAGACTGCCTTGGCATACTCTCAGTCTTCTCCCTTCTTTCACTTCGCATGCCTCATGAGTAACTCCAGACCGCGAGTTCATGCCTCGTCTCTCTCTACCTGGCAACTAGTTGAACCGTCTTCGTTGCAGCCCACTCTTGGCCAAGCAATGGCTGAAGACCAGTCGCCCGGCGCAATCATAGCAAGTGCATCGACTGCTGCGCTTAACTCGCTGCAAGAGCTCCTGGATGCTGCCAATACACTTCCTTGCATCAAGTATGTCGCAAGCGTAGCAGTCAAGATCTTACAAACTATTGATGTGAGCGTTCCCCTTCATGGCGAGAGCTGCGCATGCTGACAAGCGTCCTAAGCAAATAAAAACGACCGAGCGGGAGCTGCAGCTCATTGGGTTGCGCGCGCGGAATATTGTCGTTGCTGTCGCAAGTTCTTGCAAGGGAGCTGGGGCGACCCTCAATAGTCAGCTGCAAAATGATCTCACACAGCTCACCAAGTAAGTATGCTTCCCTCCAACTCTTGATGTCACTTGTGAAATGATCTATAATTTTAGTACCATGCACGAGATTCTGCGCTATGTGCAGGAACTTTCATCACGTAGCAAACTCAAGAAGGTCTTTTACAAGACACAGGATGCGACTGCCGTAAGGTCACTCGACAATGAGCTGGTGCATTCCTTCCACCTCTTTACGGTCTGTGCGCTGTATCTGTCCGCAGCACGCAAAACTGAGAGATTCCCCAGATACAAAGCAGCGTTAATCTTCGTGTGAGACAAGACGAAATGATCGGTATGCTTAAGAGCATGTCTATCCCGGTTCGTATGATTCCTGCTTCGGTATGCAATCGCTTCTCATAAAGCAACACTCAGGAGACACAGCCTCTGCCCATCAAAGACGTCCGCCTCGATGTCCCTGAAGGGCTGTACATTATCCGCAACAGCAGAGACGGCAGTGTTGTCGAGTGCGAGCACATCAAGTCGAGCCCGACGTTCGTTCATGCTTATGTTGCCCCATGCGGCAAGAATGTCAGTCCGTATCAGCTTTGGACGATATATTCTAGACGAGGGCTAGACTTTCGATATACAATTCGGAACTTTGCAACAGGATCGGTGCTAGATCGCCAACTGGGAGAGGACGGGGGGAACCAGGTCGTGTGCTGGTCCTCTCGAGGAGGGGATAGCCAGACATGGGAGTTCATGGGGAGTAGGCAATCAGAGACGTAAGGAGACATATCCTGTTTTGCGAGCTGCGTGGCTCACTGGCAGTAATGCACAGCACAGATTATTTCTATCTACGAGGCTGTAACTCGCACATCGTCCTCGATGCAAGGTGTCCCAGTGGAGATGGCTGCAACTACCTTCACATTACCGAGGAATCTCCGAGTGGTCCATTGAAATGGCAAGAATGGTGCCTTGTCCGCCTTCCGTGGTCCTCCATCCTGCCCTTCCCCTCGCAGAACCCTTCACCACCTATCCCTCTCACCGGCAATGATCTCCCTCGGCGGCAATTTCTGCTCCAGAACGTCGCCTCAGGCTGGTACGCGACCGCAATAGGGCTCACGGACATGGAAGACTCGCCGAATGTGATCGTCTCTGCGGACGCCGCGAAAGCGACGCGGTGGTATCTGCTGCACCAGGGCGCCGAGCCCGAGGCGCGAGCCACGGCCCCTGCAGCACGTGAAGATCTCTTTGCGCTCGTCGCGCGGAGCGACCGACGGCTTGCGACACTCGACCACTTCTACTCGCGGCACATCCAGGCTGTATACCGGCGCTTCGGGCCGCAGGACCCGGCACATGCGTGGCGCGTGCTCCCTGCGCACGCCCCCGGCGCATTCATCTTCGCGAACCGCGCGAGCGGCGCGCTGCTCTGCCAGACGCAGATGACTGGCCCGCTCGCGACGGCGCCCGCGAAGGATGCACACAACGGCGCGTGCCAGTGGCGCCTCGTCGACGCCGCAGACGGAGAGCTGTGCCGCGTTCTCTACGACTCGTCGCTCACGATCATCCCGCCGGACCTTGCGGGCCCACCCCAGGCTGCGATGCCGACGCCCGCGACGGGCGTGCAGAAATTCTTGCGGACGAAGTCCATATCGCATGATTCTCAACGGCAGTTCATCGAGAGCCTACGATACGAGCACGAGGTTATACGCGACATGCTGTTCAAAGTAGGCTACACGAGCCTTGTCGTGGCGCCGCAGCTCATCCGGGGCTGGAGAGATGGGAAGGTTCATGAGGTGTCAGTCGTCGTGCGGGATGAGGAGGACGCGCTGGGCGTGCAGAGGTTCCGCGGGAAGGGGATGTACAATTTTGAGAAGTGTGAGCGTCGGTGAGAGATCTATATACCCCCTGTGCACTTCGTGTCATACTGTCATGAATATTACATAGTCCGGACGGTTCTCCCGGATTCCACAGTATTCTTTCACTTTCTATACACCTCCGTATATTCATAGTATAATCTAGGTATCGAGTCTGACATGTATAAAAGGAGCTCGTACTGCTCAATAACAAGCCAGACTCGAGCTGGTCTTTACTCACCCACTTTACTCTCGTCTGTCTCCTCAGCCTTGTCGTAGCCCAGTCCAGTTGGATTGTAGGTTGCTGACACATACTGTGTTAGCATGCTTATTGCCGTTATGGCCAGAACAGATACTCGTATGTACTGAAATACACACTTATTGATACCACGAGAAAGCATTGCGTGACGAGTGGGGTAGTAAGACTGAGGGCAGCTATGTAAGTCAAGCAAGTTTACGAAGATGACGGCTCTGAATCCCTGCTTCATGGATCCAGATTTTAAAGAGGCGGGCAATAACGATCTATGTAAGGCGTCATTGTTCATAAAGATCATGCCTGCCAGTGTGCACGCAGACCGTTAACATGCACTTCCGCAAGTACCAGAGCCCACTTGCGAAGTTGTTATGCGCAGCCACCACGCCAATATCCACGATTTGGGGATAATTATAATCAGCTACGTCAAGTGTTCGATCATATGAGCGAACACATAAGGTAGCCGAAGCCATCCAGAATGCTCATAGTCACGGAATGTTAAGAGCAGTGGTGAATTAAGCAGATATTGTGGTACGATTATACAAAAAAGGAGAGCCTACGACCAATGCTTCAGCTCGCGGACCTTGCTTATAACTTCCTTGCTCATGTTCGATCCGCGCCCCTTGGTCTTCCCAAACACGACGACAGTGCCCCAGCGTCCTGCGCGCCCCGTCCTGCCTGCACGGTGCAGAAAATCGATCATGTTCCGTGGCGGATCCGTGACGAGCACATGCTTGATCTCGTGCGAGAAGTCAAGCCCACGCGAGAGGAGCGACGTCGTGATGAGCACATGAGGCGCATCCTCTTTCACGGGCGCGTCGGCGAGCTCCGCATCGACGGCAGCTTTGGGTCCAATGGGACGCAGGAACGCCTCAAGGTGCTTATTTGAGCCCCGCCCGCGCGCCTCAGCCGTGCTCGTCAGCGCAATGTTCGGGATGCTTTTTTCAGCGAGGTACTGCCCAAATTCCTCGACACGCGTGCTCTTGTTGCAGAAAATGAGTATCTTCGATCGCCGCCCATTTCCACTCGTCGAGTCCTTGTACCAGATCTGTCGGATCCGTGCCTCGATGTCGGCGCCTTTGTTACCACCAGTCCAGGACGCATGCTCCGTCTTCAATTTCGCGGGCAGCTTGTGCAGGTTAGGCGAGGCGAGGCGAATGAGCTCGGGGTGGTGGCCGTTGAGGTAGGTGGCGAGCGAGTTAGGGATGGTGGCGGAAGTTAGCAGGAAGTGGAATGGGTAGTTATAGACAACTAGTGGCGATGGTAGCGTCGTCGTACCTTCGGCCGGCTTCGGCGCGAGCACCGGCTGTCCGCGAGCAGCAGCAATATCAGCCAGCAGCATCCTAGTGGACTCCTCGAAGTCAGGGTCTGAAAAAAAAATTAGCCTTGATACTTTCGAGGTTGAGAGGAAACACACCGAAAAGTACATCGGCTTCGTCAACGACGACCCATTCCACACGATGAAGCCCAACTTCCGGCTCTCCTACAACGAACTTGCGAGACCTGATCTTACGACCTTCAGGATCAAAGTCCGCAGTCTCGTCAACGGGCTTGGCCAGGTCCCAGTTCCAACCATGCCCTCTGAACATCTCCAGCACCTTCGACGGCGTACCGACAAGCACATCGACCTGCTTTGCCTTGCTCCCGATAGCCCCATCGCCCTGGGCAGGCTCATCTGCCAGCTGTGCCGCCATCTTGGCTGCCGAAGACTGCTGCAAACCATGGTTCGCCTGCGACGCGCAGAGCACGCGCAGCTTGACATTGTGCAGAAGCGACTTTGCAGTCTTGGAGAGCTGACGAGAGAGCTCGTGTGTTGGAGCAAGGATAATCGCCCGTGGACTGACGACTCGTGCCTTGCCCTTCTTCGATGCGGCCTCAGGAATCTGCCCGGAGAGCTCGGAAGTTTTCAGGTCCTGCAATACAGGTAGCATGTATGCTAGCGACTTTCCGGAGCCTGTCTCTGACGCTAATAGATACTGTCGCCATTTCGACCCGTCTTTCGGCGGTGCGAAGAGGTGCTTTAGGGAAAGCGCTTGAATGGGTGTGGGCTGAGCATTAGGTCCAAGACTGTCGATGACGGAGGAGAGCAGACCCTCCATGACGGGTGGGGAGGTGAATTCAGTCGGCAGCGCAGATGCAACCTCGGTCTGCGTGCTCCTGTCAAATTCATCAGCCAGCGGATTCTCCACCCTCGGTTTTCGTGGCGGTGGTGTATTGAGGTTAAGGCCAGGATAGTCGACGGGGATACGCGGAGGAGGCGATCGGTGAGTATTCATTTCCCTTGTGCTACTCTTCGCTCTTTCTGTACTTCTCGCGCCTCTAGAGTCTCGTGCTTGAAGGCGCTCCTCGCGTTCGCGCTCTCGCTGGCGATATCGCGCTCTTCTTTGTCCGGCTGCCCGAGATTCTTCTGACTGGGTGAATCTGTCTGTGTCTGATTCCGGATGCGGTGCAGGGTCCCGAACAAACGATTCTCGAGCAGGAAGAGGAATCTTGGCCACCTCGAGATTCTTGGCTTGTTTAGAGCCGGCACGACCTCCTCGCTTCGGAGTGAGGTCTTTCGAGAGCCGAGTTCGTGATGAACCTGGGCTTGCTGTACGCCAAAATCCTCAGCAGTCTTCTGCAATATAGAAGATCATAAACGTACGTTGCTTGTTTCCCTTCCTCGTGGCCAGTAACGCGGAGGACGTGTGAAATGAGTGTGCCAAGAGTTCCAGCGGAAGGGCAGCTTTTGCCCGCTGCAGCGAGACTGAAGCGAGGAATGACATTGTTGAGATTTGAGGTATATGCCACGGGAGAACTTTATAACTTATAGAGACCAAGCTATTGAACCCATTGGCGGAGGACGTGAGCGGGAATTTTAGAAAAGCGAGCAGGGCAAACGCGGGTCGTGAGAACAACCTTCCGTAACTTACCAGAAGCGTGCGCGCCTATCCGAAAGCGAACCTCGAACGCTCCTCACCTCCGAACGTCCACGAACAAAAAATGGCCCGTCGCTCTGCACCACCAAATTCTGGCCCCGCCTACTATAGCGGCGCTTCGCGCGGTGCGCTCTCAGACCCAAACGAGTCAGCCTTCTCTGCCTTCCTCCGCAACGAAATCTTTGCACCGGAGAAGATCCCAGGAAACCTGAGCATTGTGACCGGTGTCACAGTGTTCCTTGGTGGCATTGCGGCTATCAGGACATGGGGAGACATACTCATTCCTGCGTAAAGGAAGCACGAGAGATGGATTGTTGCAGGGCATGAAGGTGTGTCCAGCTGCGCTTTTGGCCACATACTTTATCTTCTTAACGCCATTGCACAAAGGCCCGTAGTCCACGTAGTTGCGGCTCTCGTATAGCATAGATGCCATAGCCAAGAGCAGAGAATTGCGGAGGTCGCGCCATCAGTATTTGTGGCTGGGATGTGTTCACGGAAGTTGGAGAACAGTCTCCTAAAATATCACGGCATGTACCATGTCCCTCATGCTATCGGACGTGCTTGTATCGCACGGGAGTTCTGCGAGCCCGCGTCATATAATATCCTTGGCTGGCTCTCAAGCTGCACACGTTGAGCGTGAACACCCGGATCGTGTCCTGCAGCTGACTCTCAACTGGAATCGTTCAAAGATGCATATAATCGTACGACAGTGAACACGATATCACGAAAACCGCGCAATTGATGTTAACGGAGCAGATACAATCTCATCGGCAAAGATTCAACATTTCGAATTCAGATTGGTCCGAAAGCACATTCGCCGCGCATCCGAACCAATGCTGAATATGCTCCGAGGACGAACGTTAGTAACATCTTATTTAAGAAAATTCTAAGCCGGCTTTAAGCACTCACCTCTGGCTTTATGTATCATCCTGCGATACCATAAGCAGGTTAAAGGCTGTCGATAGGTCCTTCCAAAACCGCTGCACTTCGTGCGCAATGTTCTGGCGTACGCTGTCGCAGCATTTTTGACATAAACCATAACCTGAAACAGCTTCAAAGATATTTTGTAGCAACCACATGGAGCTGAGCGTGATTCTCAGCTCTTCGCCCGTGTAATAGCCCCTGCCAGCAACCAATTCCCGCACGCCCCTAAGCCACCAGGTGGATCACCCAAGGAAGTCATCACCCATATCACACACCGTCTTCACAGCCCTGTGGAATCGCAACTCGGCCCGATAATCTAGCGACGGGCTCATGCAACCGCCTTGCAGAACGTCAAACACCACATCGCGGAGCTGCGCACACTGAGCCTGCAACTTCGCCTTCCTTGGACTTACCATGTCCTTTTTCAGCAAGTTCCATCCCGTAGACCTCTATCAAACAGCGGTCGCACGCCCACCTTTACATCTCGTCAGAACTCAGGTCGTAATTGACGCTAATCACTCGAACGTACCGACACTGTAGGCAATAGTTTCTTTCAATCTGGTCCCGGCGCGTCGCTGTCTTCTCGTTCACGCAGCATAATTTACCCGTGGTACCTTAGCTAGCTGAACAGCAGCCAGCCTTGCTTCGCCGTGAACATGGATGGGTAACAGTCCTCCCAAATTCAGGGTACCCGGTCACCACTTGGCTGTGCTGAGAATTGCTGGAACCAGTGTCCAGCGTCTCCAGATGGCTTACGGTGTTCCAACGCTTTCAGACGGGTTGGTAAGTTACTGATGCCGCAGCCTATGGTATGGAGGGTGTCTCCAGAGGCCGTACCCCAGCTGGGAGAACTAGCAGCAAGTGTACCATGATATAAGTGCTGCGATCTCTGAGCTCTGATGTCCTGCGCACACTTTGCAGCGTGGGGCGTCGATGGCGGCGTGGCGGCCCCGGAGTGGGACTTCGTATTCCTGAACGGGATAGCTATTGATCTCATCTGATCAAGGTATCTTGCAGTGTATAAGATGGCGTGGCGAAGTGTGACGTGGCAATTCTCAGCCACGAGCCTTTCCTCCCCGCAATGGCCCAAATTCCCCTCACCACCGCTTACCTTCTCGGGTTGGTGTTGGAGACTCTAAGTTATGGTGTGTCGATGGCCCACCACTTGAAGTTGAGCGAACGCTAAGCACAGGGTATGCTTAGGCATGTACATCGTGTTATTCCTTTTCTCCATGTATTTCTTGGTAGGCGATGGGAGCCGGAAGCGCAGGGGCTCTAGGATGGCCAAGTCGATGCTTTTCATTATTATTGGCAACGTCATTCTCTTCGCCACTATCACTGCTGTAAGCGCCACAAGAACGTTCCCTGCGCTCGGATTTATGTGGAATGTCAGGGATGGATCATCGTCAATATCAGGAGCTTCACAGGCTTCATTGGTCATAGCGGCGATTCTAACTGGACACTTATGTACTTCGCCTCATTTTCCGGAGGAACAACTGTTGCTATCGTAGCTTTATATCTAGTCGAAACAGCCGTGGCAGACTCCATAATGGTATGCTCCCTCTTCTTCATGTCATCGTGCTTTCGCAATAACCGTGTGTTTACGCATAGGTGTATCGGCTGTGGATAGTGTGGCAACACAAGCGGTCGATTATGGCGTTACCTGGCTGCACGTATCTCGCCACCCTAGGTATGCTAAACTAATATGTTTTCTGTCCACAGACTCATCGGTATTCTAGTCGGTGGAGCGAATGTTATCTACCGTATGCGCAAGCTGACTCCTAACGAAGACTTCTTTGAGTCTCCCTGTGGTACGATTCTATGCGGTACACGGCGGCAGGCAAACGAATCGTGGTTGATGGATGCACAGCGCCTTGGATTGCCTGTACTCTGACATGTACTGTTGCGTACGTTCAACTTAGCTTAATCCCTCTGAACAGCGTTGACGAGGTACCAGCACGAATATATACTGCTCGGGTGCGTCTTCTTGCCGAGTCAATTCAAACCGGAAGCTACTCACTTGGCAGTAGGATTATTGTCGTACAAGATCTGGAGTACGCAGCGAGAAGTGAGACGCGCTCAGTCAGCTTATCTGCGCTCTACAGTAGCTTCGGTGGGTATCACTTGGCCATCCAGGTTCTTAACTTGACAAGTGTATTGCAGAGAAGCGTGGCTGTATTTGTTGAGAGCGCTTTACTGCTCACGTACGTCCCGCTGTTTATATTTACAGTCGCAGGTTTGTGATGCGGTCTTGCAGCACCTCAAGTGCAGTGCTCGCGATCACCTACTTCACTCACTCGTTCGCATTGTTCCCCTGCATGGGTATTGTGCGTCTCCGGTTTTCTCCCCTCTGATAACTTCGCTGACTCACCAAAAGGCTGCCCCACTCATTGGCTTCGCCTACTGCCTCATTATTGTCCGTTTCGGCTTACGCGGTGCTTTCAAAGCAGACAGTCCAACCCTGTCCTCCAAAAAAATTCCTCCGCTGCAGCCCTCGTACTCAAATCCTGTTGCAAAATCGGCAGCTATCGACGCGATGCACGAATCGGAGACCGTCATGATGGGCGGCATCGAGCCTGATGCTGCGAAGACTTCCCAGACGGACGCAGTACTAGAATGGCTCCAGACTTATTCCCCCAGTCACGTTTGATTTTGTCGTGGCCTATGCGATGTTACTAGTTTTCGTGAGCTCTTGGAAGGCTGAACCGGTCGACGATTCGAACCCGACGCTCGCACGTTAGAGTAGAATGAGCATGAAGACTAAGGGTACAACACTAAATACTAGGCTAAATACAGATAGCATGAACGAACAACTGTACAGATACTTCGCCATTGGTATTTGTAGGATAACGCACCACGAGTATGAGAATTTTCCGTCCGGAAAGCAATTGCACGACAGCAGACTTAACGTGATATGTACAATAACCTGCCCAACCCTTGCAGTGAGCACAGTACCAACCAAGGGTATCCAAAAAGATGACGAGCCTCTACATGCCCTCGCATGTCCAGATGCCTTGCTCGACGACGTTGGTCGCACTGGCGACGCAGCCTTCGAGAAGGGGAATCCCGCAGCTCGCATACGAGCCGCACAGCCACAGACCGGGGGTCTTGTTTGCCTTGTCCGCCGCGAGGACGCCCGCGCCTTGGATCGACCCAAGGCGGCCAGCGCCCTGCGCCTCGCAGCCCCAGCGCCACCCGCCCTTCGCGCCGTCCGTCCACAGCGCACGCAACGCACGCTTGCTCTCGCGCGTCACAAGCGCGCGCTCGAGGCAGACGGAACTCAAGATCGAGTCCTTGCGCGGCGCGACGATCGGGTTCGTCGTCTGGTACACGCCCTTGACGCGCGGCAGGACGTGCGTCGCCATTGCACAGTCCGGCTGCACCGTCAGTGCCTTCCAGTCGTTTGGTGCGGGCCTCGGCAGCGTCTTGCGCGCCGCTGGCGAGGCCAGCACGAGGTTCAGGTCGCGTCTGTCGAGCTCCGAGGCGGGGAGGAGCGACGGGTCTGTGTGGTTGATGACGACGGTGCGGCAGTACTTGAAGTTGGAGAGGCACTCTATTTGGGCTTGCACGAGCGAGCGATGCTCTTCCATGTTAGGCGGATCCTTCGGGTCGGCTACGGTGGGAAGGGATTGAAGGTAGGAAGTCAGGAGCGGGATGGCGTGGTTGGCTTGCGTGGCGCAGATGATGTGCGAGAAGCCATGGAAGGTGCGATCACCGGCACAGTGGATGTCTACGGTAGGTCCCAGCGATGTATGGGGATTGTACTCAAGACCGAGGATGGAACATGACGTGTGGATGTTTCCAGGAGAGATCAGAGCAGTAATCTTTTGCACAACGTCTCGGACGCCGTTCATTACGACATAGTGGTGCGCGCCGATAGTCAGATATATATAATCTACACAGGAACATTAGATCTGAACTGAAGTGCAGACACTCTGCGACATACCCAAGAACTCCTCGACCGGGTGGTCCCAAATTTCTTTTGCGCCGGCCGTGCAAACAGCAGAGAAAAGAGGCATGAGAACACGAATAACGAAGTCTCGCCACCGTGTGTCCAATCCGAGAAGCCTGGAAAAAGGACTCTTAGGTGCAGTCGCCTCGCGCCATTCACGTAGGGTCATATCACTGCGCATCCTATGAGGTATTGGAAGCCACAGGGGTATCGAGCAAGAAGTTTTGGGGATGCGAATACGTTCTGGGGTATGGAGGGGCATGGAGTATGCGAGAAGTCGAAGGTAGAATGCACCTATGAGCAATGCACCGAAAGCAAAGGCAAGATAGGCACGTGCTTGGGCTGCAAACGCGAGCAGGGGCGAGGAAGGGATGCGCCGCGGCGGCCTAGCCGACGCAGGCATACTGACACCTTTCGTGCCAGAAGCACCGTTGTAAATCATGGTTGCATTGATTTCGCTCGTCGCGTCCTCCGCGAGGTACTTCAAAGTCGAGAACGAGTAGGTGAAATCGGCAACACGAAAGGTAACGCCCAGCTCCCTATACAGCTCTATCAGCTGCTTGTAGTAGCCTATTCTCAAGGTCAATGCACGAGCAGTACAATGCATGGCGATGCGAACCCACCTCCCTGGAATGAACGCATCGGCACGTCGATCCTCTGCTTGCCACTTCCGCCTGGCACCGCTACCGAGATAGACTGCGAGTCCATGCCAATCGTCGACGCCTATCGAAGAGACAACATGATGAGCACAGGACGACGATGACTTAGGCCCGAAGGATCGCGCGGGGCATTGTAGACCCGTCGACACCTTGTATGTTGGTAGCCGAGATCATCGACCCCGTGCCACGAACTTCACGGCTGCCATCTATGTATGACTGATCGTTCGCGCAGCAAGAGGCCATACAGTGCGAGAAGTCGAACAAAGGGAATATGCCCAGATACACAACTCACTTTTTCGAACAAGTGCACCTCAACATGGACCTCCCCATGATCTGAACCCTGTGCCAGACGGTAGGCAGCAGTCAGGCCCGCTAGGCCACTGCCCACGACTGCGACTTTGACCGTCCGTTTGCCGGATTGCATCGCTTTGGGGGCGAAAGGTAGGATGCTTCGCTTGACAGAGTTTGACGAGCGAGGGGAAATTTCTCAGTCCAGCCGGCTGGTGCTTATAAGCTATGCTAACGGAAGTGGGGCGGGTGCAGACGAGGAGTTGACACCGCAGTGAGAGGTAAAAGGAAGCTTGGGAATAGCCCAGCCGTGTTCTAGGTAGGTAGCGACGTCGTTATGCGCGAGGCTTTTGACCGAGGGTAGCCGGTGTGGGTAAATCGACTAGGCCGGAGTGATGCACGCCCATCTAAGCCTCGTGTAGTCATACTCGCTGCCAGTTGTTACCCGGGACACAGCTGCGGTCCATCTTGACCTCTTGAAAGCTTGTCGATGGAGAAGGAGAAGCGTAGAAAGCGATACACGCAACGCTGGGATTTCAGCCAGGAGAAGCATTACAGGTCGTTCAACAAACAGACTGGATATCCTCCGGTTCTACTGTATGTCGGATTCTTCACATTGCGATCGATACCGGTTGGAATTGCCATCTTATCGAGGGCTCGTCAGATTAAAGTTGACTGAGCCAGGATCAAGGCTCGAGTGTATGCGCTGAAACGGTTTCAGTGTTAGTTTATTGCAACATTACTAGTAAGCTCATTAACGGTTCTAGCTGTGTACATATTGGTTTCGTCGTATCGACGCTGAGCAGAGCTCTTGACTCGCACAGATGGAAAGTGGAAGAGACAGGAACGGTCGCGGACAGGTGATAGTGGCAGATTAATCGTTGCTGTAGCCGTATCAATTCCCACGATTTATATCCGCTTCTTCGATTACACTGCGTTCGTTACGAACTCTAGCAATCCCACCATCATGTCCACTGTGCTTGCCACTACCGTGCCCCGGAAGACGGCAGCTCGTTTGCCAAAGCCTGCCGCGCGATACTGGAAAGGAAAGGCCCCGAAGGGTGCAGGCGAGCCACCATCAGACTCCGACGCAGAGGAGGAAGAGGAGGAAGAGCAGCTCGAGGAGGGAGATGAGGCCGTAGAGGACATTGGGGAGGAAGGCCTTGAGGTACGACAGCAAGCTCCGAAGGTCCCGGGTAGGGGTATCAATGTCACATTGAGGGATGTCAACATCTCGAAGGAGGGAAAGGTTATTGTCGCGGGCAGGGAAGAGGTTGGACGCACGGAAGCGGAGCTCGGTACGCTTACTTTCCATCATCCTAGACCTATAATTTATGACAATTGGTATCCACAGAGGAGTCCGAAGAGGAGGAGGAGGAGAAGGAGGAAGAGGAGGAGGAGGAGGCCAAGCCTGGCGAGGAAGAGGTACGAGTATTGCATTCCCTTAACCCCGGTTATCCGTGAATGACTTCATGCTAGTCTAGCGAATACGAGACCGAATCCGAGTCTGAGGAGGAGCCGCCGAAACCTCAGTTTAGACCTGTATTCATCCCAAAGTATGTCATACCAGTAGATACCGAGGGCAACCTAACCAGAGTCGCAGACGCGCTCGTGTGACCGTTGCCGAGAAGGAAGCTCTGGCACAGGACACGGAGGAAGCCGTCAAGCGGAAGGAAGAAGAAGCCGAAGAGCGACGGAAACAGAGTCACAACATGGTTGCAGAAAGCATTAAACGGGAACTACAAGAAAGCATGTTACGCTATTTTAGTCACTCATCCTGCTTTTCTGACACTGCCGTCTTACAGAGGAGAAAGAGGCGGAGGTCCCTGATGTTGATGACATTGACGGCCTGGAACCTGAGGGCGAGTTTGAAGCATGGCGACTGCGCGAGCTAGCTCGTATCAAGCGTGATAAAGAGGAGTCTGTCCGCAGAGAGCTCGAGCGCGAAGAGATTGAACGCCGAAGAGCCTTGCCAGAGGAGCAAAGACTTAAGGAGGACCTCGAGCACGCTGAGAAGAGTAGAAAAGAGAAGCCAAAGGGACAGCAAAAGTTCCTCCAGAAGTATTGGCATAAGGGTGCATTCCACCAGGTATGCCTGTGATAGCATTGCTCCATGTCATACGCTGACCATATGATATTCGCAGGATGAAGAGATTCTCGAGAGGCATGACTTCACGGAAGCTACTGAGTCTACGGTAGACATCTCGCTGTTGCCGAAGGTCATGCAAGTCAAGAATTTCGGAAAACGCGGACGCACCAAGTACACACATTTGTTGGACCAGGATACAAGTGTTACCACTGGCGGTATCAGTGGCGCCGGTTCGGCACGACCGAGCGGCAAGCCTGACATTGTGTGCTTCCAGTGCGGGGGCCCGCATGTCAAGAAAGGTATGCGTCGCCCAACTTGCGGCCAGCAGTGCTTTAACGCTAATCCTCCGAGTAGACTGCCCGCAGAACACTGGCCCGCTTAAGGTTGGCACGGGCGCAAACAGCACCGTGCCCGGCGAGCGCAAGTGGGGGCCGCGTAACGATCGCGAAGATCGCAGGGACTCGTGGCGCGACCGCGACCGCGACGACGGGTACCGCCGACCACGCGACGGCCATGACGACGACCGCGACAGGCGGCGGGCCGAGCGGCATGACCGACACGATGATCGAGTTCGGCGCAGAGACCACGATGACCGCCGAGACGATCATGATCGCTGGCGCGAGAAAAGCGACAGCTACGGCTCGCGACGGAGAAGTCAGTCGCCCCGGAGAGAGACGTGGCGAGACGAAAATTCACGGCGGGATAAGCACCGGCCGAGAGACAGCTCTGTCGAACACGACCGTGAGGAGAAGCGGCGGAGAATTGACTAAGCTAACTTCATGTACCTGTACGTTTTCGCGCGGTTATGTTTGGTTCGTTGTCTCACGGCTCGCTACACTCACTGGCACCACTGAGATGATTGAGACATACCCTGCTTGGCGTGAAACGCTCAACAACGACGGAAATGCCGTTTGTGTTGTGGGCGCTATTCACTCCGCGTTGAAGCTGTGGCCATTATTCAGGCTTTGTTTCCCGCGTTTAAACCAGAATTCTGGCTCAATATACCGCGCATGGTCTTCTATTCAAAGGTAGGCCGTTGAGTACAGCCCTGATGTTTTCGTTCCAGTGCAAAGGGTCTCTAACTGCCATGGGTGAGCGCTGGCTTGAGGCAATCCCCTGACAGCTGTTATTAGCCGACGTTATGCAGCCGCGGCTATAATTTATGGCGTACTTAGCTCAAAGTCGTAATCCTGATGGATTTACTGAGGTACCAGATGTGATAATGGGGACATATCATTCATACATACACGAAACATTAGTGAGTTACAGGTGGAATATTTCTGAGAGACGATTCTATTCATGTCGTATCCTCGCGGGGAAGAAAGCTCTATATAGTTCCTTATTCTGAGGGCACATTGCACCTAATCGCGCTCGTCTCACCTGGTGATGCGAAGGGGGTTGCGCTGCAAGTAAGAAACTCGTCCGACTACGCATGTTACGCGAAAACCGGCCCCGGAAGGATGGCCTTGAATTGAGATTAGCATCAGCAAAAAAATCGGTTATAGATCAGGGATGAGTTGCCAGGCAAGCGCCTAACAGGATGGCGAACGCTGGCAATGCAAGGACACGCGATACCTGACTGGTATTGCATTGCAAATCGTAACTCAGACCGGTATGTTATTATAAGTTGAATCCTATCCTGATACCACTAAACATGACATGAGTTGCTCGCCCAGATCTCGGTTATGACATGACGTCATCCGTCTCGCTTTCCGAGACGTGTTTCTCGCCGCCCATCGCATCCACGCCGTCTGCCCAATAAGATTCCTTCGACCTCCCCTAAAGTCACTCCCGGCGAGTTTCCTTTTATGAAACTGCATATATAGAAGGCGTCGATGGCCTTCCGTTCTCGCCGCTTCTTCCTCCTGGTCACCACCATACCCCGCCTCTGCTTACTCCCTCCGAACAGTATCTCCGCCGTGTCTCGCTAAGCTCAATATGTCACAAACGTATGTATATGCAATTTTTCTCTCGTGCTGCAGTGCACCTGACTACATGTATTCGTACGCGCGACAGCTGCGGCACCGACTCCTGCCTGTCCATACAGTTTGCAAGGGTTCTTCAATGCGGGGTGGCGGCTCGAGCATCCAAGGTCTGTTGAGATTATCCTGCATATATGTGTCTCTGACACAGGACCCTTCCGCATCGCTCTCAGTGTGACATGTAGAGTATGTGACATGCACATATGCGCTTGATTCCTTGATGTTCTCATGTACAGGCCCTCGTAAGACATCGCCCTTTCATTCAGTAAGCGGTGCCTGCTTGTATCGCAGCACCCCAACCTACGACTCTGCCCAGTCCGTCTTGCAACGGCGAGCGCGTTAGCGTCAACTCACGGGGCGTAGGTCTTTCTGAGTCAGTCTTTAAAACCTCGCATACTGACAGTGCTCCTACAGGCTGTACGGCCCGTTCTTGTGCTTCGGGATCCGCGAAATATCCTCACGGTACGCATTGCAGTCTGCGGGTGTCTACGTACATAGGTATTTATGTGCATAACTTGTCTAGGGTACAAGTCACGCGCATCGTGCACTAAGTATACGGCCGCTCCGGGGACAGCCTTTTTTGTCTGACGCTCACATTCACTGCGAAAGCGCTACCCTCTGGACGCCGTTGTATTTTATCTACGAGTTTTGTACCTATTGTAGTTTTGTGAATATATAAATTGCTATCTTAAATTTTTATGTGCGAGCTGGCCCCCAAAGATCCGATTATTGAATAAACCTTGCGAGCGCCCTGGCAAATGCCACCCAGCCTGGCGCTCCCTGGTAATGCATTGCCAACCTTAACTGAATGATAAAGGTCCCCAGGCTGGTGAGCCTTGGAAATCATACAGGTGCTCTATCTACTATGGCAATGGCAATCTCAGGGTGGGTTGACTTATATTCATGGGTGCCTTTATCTAGCTTGGCCAGATTAGATCATTGGGTAATTTTTTGCTGATGAGAGATTCGTGGGCGCCTAGATGCGGCGAAACCGACCCGTACAGACCCGCAGCCAGTAGGACAAAGAAAAAACAGCGACCGTAGAACAAACCAGACCAACACACAGACCACAGACGCGTAGAAGAAACTAGACCAACAAACAGACCACAGACACACACAGGGCGGGCGGGAGGGCAGACGAAAACAAGCCTGAGAGTGAGCAACGGTGAGAAACAACAAGGTGCACGCTGTGCTGAGAGACCAACCTTAGGGTAGCAAAGGTGAGAGACGAGAAGGAGTGTGCTGCACCCCTAACTGTCCCGCGTTCTGCGTACTCCTCGAAGAGGGGTCCCACTCGGAGCACGCCGTTCGCCACTCACGTCAGTGGCAGCACGACCGAGACCTCTTCCGGTTGGGTGTCCGCTGGACATTTCCCGCGCTGCGGGTACTGACTCAGACGCTGTCTGAGTGCGCACATCCCGGGAAAAACGCGGCGCGATTAGATCAGTGTAAAGATACTTTAAACACGAATAAATTCCACATCTGGCTTGTCAAGGAGCTCAAGAAAAGAAAAGAGGATACCAATAAGGTCCGGTTTGTCCGCCAGAGCACAACCCCCCCCC